AGCGTGCCATGGCCTCCAGCCCCACCCAGCCTAGGGGCTGCGGGATTTAGAGCTTGTCTCAGGTCTCACTGGGGGCGCCCCTGAACTGTTGCTTAAGATTAACTGGGCAAAATAGCACCCAACCATTCTCCTCATGCCAAGGAGACAGAAACCTGGCAGACCGTGCCCCCATGCCCTGGGGCGTTCCCACTCACACCTCTCTGGAAGGCTGTGCTCTCCCGAGGACGGAGGAGAGCCCATGAAGGCGCTGCCACCTCTCCCGCCCCGCCAGGCAGGCAGCGGCCACTCCCTTTGAGCCGCAGCTCCAAGGGTGAGCGAGATGTGTCTGGTGACACACGTTCACCCCCGCTCGTCCTCAAGAGAGCCAACCGAAACAGACGGATGCTCACCCGTCACCCAGGGGAGTCTGGAAGGCCCACGTGAGGTGCTGTCGACAGGAGGAGGCTGTGAGGCCCTCGGGGGTGGGCCGTCACACACACGGCAGGCGATAACCGGGATGCTGAGTCGCAGTGGGGACGGGCAGGCAGACAGGGAGGAAAAGGGCCTCCGACAGCCCAACACCTCGCCGGCCTGAGCTCACTGCGTCCCTGGCAGCACCCCTGCACGCACACCTCGCACCTGCGCCTGCCAGTGTGCGCGTAGCCATCATAGCAGGAGTGTCCTTCCAGGCCAGAGGGAGGGCGGGGGTGACAGACAGGACGGCCCCACAGCCGTGCACCAGAGCCCATGCAAGCACCCGGCTGTCCACCTCCTGTCACTCGCCCCTCCCCGCCCTGCAGTGGCCTCCATCGGACACCTTGTGTAATGCCTCCCATAGGTCCCTGTCTCTCTGGAGAGGGGCCTTCCCGGACGGGCCTGGAGGGATCCAGCATGGCCACTCTCCCTCCACCCAGGCATGGCCACAGACCGCATGCAGATCAGCGCCCTCTGGGGGGCCCGGCGAGAGCGGGCCCAACGCCAGCACGGCCACCGGGAGGCCATGTCCAGGCCTCACGCAGCCCGTCCGTCCCAGGCATAGTCTTTGGCTTCCCCTCTGCCCTACGAACCGCCGGTGCCGTCAGCAGTCTCTCCCATTAGCCAGGTGGCTTCTGCCGACTGCAGCCCAGAACCTGAAGACAGATGCAAGCTGGCCCCTGGACGATGGTCCCCTGTGACTTTCAGGACTTGACATGCAGTGGAAGGCCGTGGGTGCACGGGCCGCCCCGGGGTGTCAGCAGTGGCTGACTCCCAGGCCCAGACTTGGTCACTTCCGGGAGCCCACCCAGTGTTCCATGAGCACCTTCCAGGGGGCCACGGGGGAAATGGAATGGCTGATGGAGAAGCTGCCGGGACCAGCGTATGCCTCTGCTGCTTTGAAGGGGAGCGCTCAGGGTTGAGTTCTGCACTGAAAGGAGCAGCCACCGTAAGGCAAGTGTGCTTACTCCACCTCAGGGCAGGGCTGCACTGAAGCTGAAGGCCCTCGCTGTTCTGCGGCCACCTCCCCTGGGTGGCCCAGGGCCTGCTGGTCAAGGGAACAGGTTACCGTGTGCCCGACCACGTGGCTTCAGTCTGAACAGATGACTTCTGAGAAACGTGCCGGGCATGTGTGTGCGTGCACGCGCGTGTGCACCCATTAGGCTTACACAGCAGTGAACTCAACGGGACGTCAGCACGGTTGACACACGCATAAGCGAGAGCTGGAAGGCTGTGCCCGTGGGCCACGGCCTCGGTCTGAGGAGAGTGTGGACGGGATACCACTTCCAAACCAAAACTCCGATGATGAAGTGTCTATGAGACGAGCCACGAGGGCTCCTCAACACCTTCTGAACAGGTGACCCTGAGGACCCCTGGGAGCCAGGCTGATACTGCCCACAGCCGTACTGGGGGACCATGGCTGGACAGTCCCGGCTGCCAGGCTTAGTGACGTCCCAGCTCTCGCGAGATGGCACGCGCTAACGCCACACCGTGCCACTCTCCTTCGGGAAAGCAGGCCACGGGCCACCGAATGCTCTCTGTGACTGAGGGAGGCGCAATGTGCTTTTCCAGCTGCGAGAGCCAGGTGGTCACCCAGAAAATCTAACGTGAAAAGCTGAACTTGCCAGCCTATGGGAAATTTAAAAAAACAAACAAATCCCACGGTGGTTTGCCGGTGAGTTTGAGGAGGGTTCCCAGCCGTGGGACATGCTGCGTGATGGCTGTGGAGCCAGCTGGACACATCTGGGCAAAACCTGTCAGCTGGTAGGTCCGACGTCCCCAGACAGCCCCGGGGCCCGCAGCCTCTGCACCTGCTGGCCGAGCACTGGCACCCAGAAGGGCCAGGGAGCCCCGGGCTTGGGGCCACGCTGATGGCAGGGCAGAGAGCAAGCCCTAGGCCTGCGTGTGTGAGCACAGACGAGGCTGCCAAGGGGGGCCCAGCGCCCAGCCCTAGTGCTATGGGTGCCTCGGCGGGCACAGGGCAGCTGGCACAGTCAGGGTGGTACGGGGCTCAGTGCCACCGGGAAAGACAAGACACGACACGCCACGCCACGCCACACAAGGGCACAATTCTTATCCTCAGGCCACAGGACATTGTCACAGCTCCACTGCAGGACAGCCCCATGAGGGTGGTGTCTGGTCACGGGCAGGCAGGGACTACCTGGGTGCACATGTGGTGCGGCCTGGCCCTCTTGGCTCCAGCTGCCTCATCGCCCCTCACTGCCTCCTCTGGACACGGCTCCACCAAGCCGTCCTGCCCACTGCACTGATGGCCTCGGCCGAGCCAGGTCTGATGGAGTGTCCTGTGCAGAGGAGACGCTCCAGCCAGGGAAGACATCAGCGCCTCCTGTCCCACCACACGAGGCACAGCTGCCCAAGGGGACGCAGGCAGCATGCCAGGTCCTCTTCTTCCCACAGCCAAGACCCGCCCCATTGCACAACAGGACTTTTCTCACGCAGACCCCTTCGCGCCCGCCCAAGCGGCTCCCTGCAGGCAGGCCCCTCAGAGCGGGTCTCTGAGAGTGGGTCTCTGAGGGCTCGTCCCTGCCAGGCTGCAGAGCTGACCTCTGCGGCAGCCTGGCAGCCCCCCCCCGGGGGCGCTCG